CAACATTTTTAACCTCTATTGGTGGTTTATCTCCATCTAATTCTATTATTTTATTATATACTCTTTCCCAATCTGTGTCATTATTTGATATTTTAATATTAGCATATTTTTCTCCTTCGTAAATATCTTGACATTCTTTAAATGATTTCACCATCTCCATATATCCTTCTTCATCTAATAATGGGTATGATGTTTTATGTCCTTGATCCTTTTTCGAATATTCTCTACCTTTGTAATTTTCCCAACATTTTTCATTTTCTAAAAATATCACTATTGATTCATCAATTATCCTTTTGTTCCTAAATACTTCCTTTTCTAATAGGTGGTTCTCATATCTTGTTATGTATCCTCTGTCGAATGATGGTGTTTGTTGATAAAAGTACTCACTATAGGGACTTTTATCTAATATTAACCAATCCTCATTATCATGTTCTTCCATTCTCCTGTTGATTTGTTCGACAACTTCCTTCCTGAATTCCCATTCTATACCTTTCTTTGGTATTTTATACTTATCATTGTCCTCTCTTCTCCTTTTAAAGGTGTTAAACCTCACACTTTGTCCTACTTTTTCAAATTCTTTTATAAGTTTATTTACAATGAATGTTTTTCCAGTACCATCAACTCCACATATGATTATTATTTTAGGTCCCATTTTTACATAATTCTGATAATTTTAGCTTGTTTACTTTACTTAATATCACCTCTATTTGTAATATTTCCTCTTGAGTTTCCAATATTAATGGTCTTTCTTCACTATCTTCAAAATTTTTGGCTTTGAATTTATAGTTATAATTTATCCTGTTTAATTCCTTTGTTATACCTTCTAAATTTTCGATTATATCCTTTATTTTATGATTTGTATTTCTTACCACTTGTTCCATTTTTATTTTTGAAAAGTAACTCTTTTACCCATCTATTTATATTATTCTTGATAAGGCATCTGCATTTTTATTTTCTTTTCCTGGTCTATGGGTTATTTCAAAATCATACTGTTCCAATTCCATGACCCATCTTGATCTCTTTCCTTTTGGTACTTTTGCAGTCATTAATCCCTTCAAAGCTGCATGGTCTGTTACTACCTCAAATTTTCTATTGATCAAGTATTTATGGAAATGTTGTATTCCCCATACAATTGCATAACATTCTTGTTCGGTTATTGGCCATCTTTGTTCTGTCCTGTTTAAACTTTTACTGGCATATTCTATTACATATTCTTGACCTTTATCATCTTTTTGAGCTAACACTGCCCCTAATCCTATTCCTGAAGCATCTGTAATTAATATAAATTTCCTTAACCAATCTGGTTGTCTTAACACCGGTTCTTCGGTTAATTTCCTTTTTAATATTTCTAATGCTTCATGTTGTTTGATGCCCCATTCAAACTTTTCATCTTTTCTCAATAAAGATGTTATTGGTTTTACTATTTTTGAAAAATCTTTAATAAATTTTCTATAATACGTACATAACCCCAATATTGACCTTACACCTTTTATATTTATAGGTGCTGTTAATTTTTGTATCTTTTCAACCTTTCCTGGACTTGGTTTTAATCCATTTTTACCAACTACATGTCCTAAAAATTCTATTTCTGTTTTTCCAAATATACATTTCTTTAACTTTAGTATTAAACTGGCTTCCTTTAATTTTTCTAACACTAACTTTATGTGTTTTAGGTGGTCTTCAAAATTTTCAGAATATATCATTATATCATCAATGTATACTATCACAAATTCATTTAGGTACTCCTTTAATACTTTATCCATTAACCTTTGAAAGCTTGCAGGCGCATTTGTTAACCCAAATGGCATGACATTATATTCATATAATCCTGCTGAGCATATGAATGCTGTTTTCTCAATATCTTCCTCAGCCATTTCTATCTGATTAAACCCTGATGCTAAGTCTAAGCTTGTGAACCACTTTCCTGAGCTTATCCTTTCTAATTGTTCGTCAATCCTTGGTAATGGATATGCATCTGCTATTGTAACTTTATTTAATTTTCTATAATCGATGCAAAATCTATAATTTCCAGACTTTTTTCCTGCTAAAGTCACTGGTGAAGACCAAGGGCTTCTGGATTCTCTAATTTTTCCTAATTTTAACATTTCATCCACCTCTTTTCTAATGAATTTACCTTTTTCATCGTTTTCTTTGTACCTCTTTTGAGCTATTGGTTCAGTGTCTTCCTTTAATCTTATCTCATGTTTCACCAGATTTGTCCTGTTATATTTTTCACCATCGTACTCAAATATATCCTTATATTTTTCTACTAATACTTTTAATTTACCATTTTGTTCATTGGTTATATCCCCTACTTTAAATTTTTCAATAAATTTTTCATGGTCATTTTTATGCTTCTTTATCGTCTCTTCAGTATCATTCTGACCAAGACTTATACTTTAAAATTTTCATTTTCATAATTCTCATAATCATCTTCATATATGTTGTATAATTCATCTTGGTATAATTCATCCAATAATTCATCCTCAATTAATGTTTCTTCAAATCCTTTGATGGTCTTTTGTATATATTTTACTGGTACATCCATGGTTTCATCATCCATTCTAAGTATTATTGTTTTATCTGTGTAATCTATATTCGCCTTAAACATATCTAATACTCCATTCCCTAACACAATTTCATTTTTTTCCAGAATCAATTACTTCGACCTTAATGGGTACCTCCTTATCCCCAAACTGTATGTATATTGTTGTGGTGCCTCTTGATGCTACTTTATCCTCATTTATCATCACACATCTTACTGTACTTGGCTCTTCAATTCTTAGGTCCATTTCATCCATTATCTGACTAGTTATTACATTTACTGCTGCCCCTGTATCAAACATTACATCCTTCAATTCTTGATTTATTATCAGTTTACCCCTTAATGCTGTCAAATGTTCAGCTTCAATGTTATTTATTGGTTCTTGTAGTCAATCTACTTGTGGATATCTTCTCATACCATCATAATATATTTTTCTTTGTTCTGGGCTTATATCTATAATTTGTGAAAAAGTTGCATTTGCTCTGGTATTCTTCATGTCCTGTAATACGTTATATTTTGGTACATTTCTTTGAAATGCGCTTGTCCTATGAATACCTTCAACACGTTCATTTTTACATTCTGATGCATAGTGACCTTTTCGTCCACAATTTCCACATGTATTATTATTTCTCTTTGTTTCCTGGGCTTTTCTCAAACTCTCACTGGTAAATCCCCTTTTTGGTAATGCTGCTGCCTTATCCTGTTGACTGGCATATTTATCATTTCTTCTGCGTGCTTGTTCTTGTTCAATTTCCATATCTACGTCTCGCTCACTTGACCTATTTTTTATATTACTCCTTGTTTGTCTTGGAATAGTATAAAAATCTTGATCAACATGGTTAAATACTACATCATTGTTTTGGTAATATGGGTCACCATAATTGTATTCTTGGTCGTAATCATCTTGATAATCCTGACTATCATAATCATATTGGTCATATTGGTCATTATAATTATCATATTCCACTACATTGAATCCTCGATTATTGTTTTGGTGGTTTGGTGGTCTGTTATAGTTATTTGGTCTTCCATTATAGTTATTTGATCTTCTATTATAATTTTGATTATTTGGTCTTCCATAGTTTCTTTGACCATTATTTACCCTACATTCATTTGCATAATGTCCTGGTTGTTTACAATTATAACATGCTCGAGGTGGTGGTCCTTGTCTATTATTATTGTTTGGTGGTCTCTTTTGCCCTCCAAGTTGATTTACTAGTTTTACCTCTAATTTTTTAAACATGTCGGCAAGGTCATCCTCATAATTTTTCTCCAATGGTTTTTCAAATATATTCTTTGGTTTGTCATCTTGTATATCGATTCCTTTTCTTTGGGTACTAACTGATATACCACGTGTCTTTCTTATTAATTCATTAGTAGCTTCCTCTTCTCTTCTTGCTGTATTCACTGCATCATTTAAATTTGCTGGGTTTTGTCTTCTGACTTGATATCCCAATGTTGGTGTTAATCCTTCGATATAATTATCCACTTGTAATTCATCATCTAATGCATGGCCTCTGGTAGCTATCCTTAATATTTGTCTAAACCTTATCGTATATGCCTCAACATTTTCATTTACTCCTTGTGTTATTTTCCTTAATTCTAACATTTTCCTTTTTCTAACATCTTCCCTGGTAAATCTTTGTTTAATCCTATGTTTTAAATCATTATCATTATCGTTATCTTGCCAATTTACCAAATGACCATTGTTTGCTTCCTTCTTTTCATTATACCATTGTGCTGCTGCACCTTTCAAACAGGTAGCTGCCATTGCTGCTTGTCTAGCTCCATTTACTCCTGCTGCTTTTCCTATAGCAGTAAATGCTGTTTCAAATTGTCTTACCCAATCGTTTATGTCTTCTTCTTCCCTTCCATAAAATTGTGGCATACTAATTATTCCTCCAGCTACATTTCCTGCATCCTCAATTGCATTTGCTAATGGGTTGGCTGCGACTAATCCAGCCCAATTACCTCCTATATCATGTCCCGTTGCTGCTAGTAAAGCCGCTCTAAAACTTTCCCTTACTTCAGCTCTTGTTGCTCCCATAATTATTGGTACTATTGGTGGGATTGGTGGTATCGGTGGTGTTAAAGGTGTTTCAAATAAATTTTCTATATTATAATCAGATATTTCACTTTTATCCTCAGAGTTTGATTCTGAACTTTCACTTGAGTCAAAACCAGGTCTATTTATAATGTTTTCTTCATAAGGTTCTTCAAAATTTTCATTGTTATCGGTATCATTTGGATTTAAAATTTCTCCGTCTTTTCCAGATCCATCTGATTCTTTTTCAGATCCATCAGATTTTTCATTATCAGATTCATTTCCACTACTTTCACTATCCTCAATTCCAGCTTGCTGTTTTAGAAATTTATCTAATATTCGCCTTAAATTTTTCTCCATTTCATTTTTATTTCCTTGGAATATTTCAATAAATTCTTGATCCAATATTTCTCCATCAGTATATCCCATACTGATTAACCTCAATAACTCTCCATTAGTTATTCCTATTTTATTATCATCACATATTTGTTTTAATCTTTTAACCCTGATATCAATTTCATTTTCGTCATTTTCACAATCCCTACACTTGGTTTTTCCTTCGTCAAATTTATTGTTTATCCATCTTATTCCACATTCATTACAAAATGTGGTATTTTCATTTATCCATTCATATAATTTCGTCCTTAATTCTTTGTCATTCGTATCAATTTCCTGGAGATATTCTTCCATAAATTCCGTTGTTAATATTATACTATTGCTTATCCTGAATTTTCTTATTCTCTCTATTTCTGACACATTTAATTCGTATCCTAGTTTTTCTAAGTCATCCTTTAATTCTAGTAATTCTTTTTGTTCACAATTTTTACATTGTCCAATGTCTGCTATCATATCAGGTAACTTTCTATTTCTACAATTTCCACATATTAATGTTTCTTTTGTTAACCATTCATTTATTTCATCTTTTAATTTTTCATCACTTAGTCTCATTAATTCGAAAAATGTACCTAAAAAGTCCTCTGTTAATATCAATTCTATCCTTATCCTTAGGTCCCACATTCTTTGTATATCTTTGTCGGTGAACCTTCCACCCATTTCTTCAATTTTTCTTTTTAATGATTCCACTGTCCATTCGACATCATCCTCTATTTTTATTTCATAATGTATACTACCATCACTGTCCTCTAATTCATAACTTTCAGGACTATCACTTTCTGGGTCCTCAGGTTCCCTTGTAAATTGTTTGGTATCAATAAATCTTTGTCTTACTTTTGATACATATCTTATCCATGCATCACCTCCTTCTTGCGTGTCTGTCTCACATCTATTCTGATATTCTATCTGGAGTAATAATTCAATTACCTCTTCTTTCCTCAACAGATCTTCTGTTTCTTCATATAATAGATCCCTGAATAACTTCATTGCTAACTTCTTAACATGTATTGCTTTCATTTCATTTTCCAATATCGTGTTATACCAATCCCAAAATTTTTGAAATCTATTTTCAACATCCCAATCTTCTAAAATGTATCCATGTTTCATTATTTCTGGACATCCTATTAATCGATCAAATACTTCATTTTCCAAGTTTCCTTCAATACAATCCCTTACAATTACTACAATTATTATTCTCAATCCTTTTTCCTTCATTTTTGGTTGTTGTCTGTACCTTATTGATTCAATTATTCTATCTACTATATTCCTACATTTTCCCTTATGTATTGTATCCTCCCTTTCTCTATTGTCCATACTTAATAAATTCAATAATTCTTTATGTGTTACATTATTGTACATTAGTATTGTATCCTCGAATTTAAATAAAGCATCCCAAAATTTCTTGAATGCTGCTGATACTTCTCTTTCTATTGGATTACATATTTCACATGCTAAACATTCCTCTGGTTCTATCACTCCTAGGTCATGTTCTTGTTTATGGTTTATATATTCAGCGTTCCAAACATGGTACCATTCCATTTTTAATAAAATTCTCTAAAAATTTTCGCGTCTTTTACTTTTTATCCTTCTTTTATATTTTATTTGACCTATACTGGGCTTGCCTTTACCTCATTTGTTCATTACTGAGTATGGTAGTTTACAGGTTTGTACAAATAAATTTATATTCTTCCTTAAAATTCCCAACCTAAGGTTGGAGTGTGAATCCATATTTGATTTGTCCGATTATTTGTTGTATTTCCGGATTTGTCAATTTTATAATAGTCGTTACAAATGTTTCCTTTACTCTATATATCTTATCTTGACCAATTTCAGTAAAAAGTTTATATATTTTTATAGCTCCTTGCATCCTTTTCCTTAATGCTTCCTTTTTCTTTTGTTTTTCATCAGTACTTTCATTAACTATAAATTCCATCATTTCATCATATAATTCTTCTCTAGCTGTCTGGTCTGGCTTTGTTTGATTTATTCTTGCTTTAATTTCTCGTTCAAAAATTTGTCCAATATTGTACCATATTAAGATGTTTTTACCATTTGTATTTCCAAGACTGATGTATCTTTCTACTAATTTTTCAACATCATGAATTTCTACATTTTGTATTTCTGGTATCAATAGGTCTTCCACATTTACCGGTGTCAACAATTCATTTATAAATCTTTCCACTTTATTCTCACTTTTGGTCCTTTTCACATGTTCTCTATTATCACAGGTCAAACATCTCTTTTTTTTTTTCTTGGGTGGTCTAACATCATAGATGGTCTTTAGACTGATGGCCTTATTATCTTCATTATAAATTTTTAATTTAATTCCTTTTCCTTTACACAAATATTTTTCTGAATCCTCTTTTGTTAAATTGATTTTGTATTCCATTTTATGGGTGAGAGATCGAATTCCTCACCTTTTTATAACTTTCCTTGAATATATTTGTCCAGCAAATATTATTTTTAATAAAAATTTTTAATCATGATTTTTCTTGGGTACCCTCACACAGAATTGTTTTTGAAAGTTCACACAGAACTATTCTCAATTGATCACACAGAATACCTCAATTGAGTTCACACAGAAAAAGCTCACACAGAACTATTCTCAATTGATCACACAGAAAACCTCAATTGAGTTCACACAGAATTACCCTACCATCGTATTTATAGTGTCGGTTTTTGGGTACACTTTTTATCCTTAACTTAACCTCAATTATTTATAAAAATTATTTTTAATCCTTAATTCATGGAACTTATTTACAATATTCTATTAAAACCCCTTCTAACTTGATTAGCCTCGCATTTCCCTTGATAATCAATTACTACCATACATATTTGGTTCATATGTATGAAAATTATTATAATAATAATTTTTCATTGACTTATCAGCCGGTGGTCAAGTTAGATCAAAAATTTAATTTTTAACATTATCTCTTTATACATTTATGGTCATACTCACCCAAATTAATACCTTTTACCTTGGTAACCATTATTTTCACGTATCCTTTAAAATATTTAACTTTATTTTATTAAAATTTAACGTTAATACGCCTTAAATTCTTTTTTAACCAAGACTTAGAACTTTTAATTTTATAATTCCTTAACTTCGTCGATCCTTTATTTGTAACTTCTAATGATCACGTGGGGGTGATCATTTTCTTTTCTCAGAGATCCTATACTTATAACCTGTAGTGATCATGTGAGGATGATCACTTTTCCTTTCTCGGAGCATGCACCACTTGTAACACCTGAGCCCATAGAGAATTATGTTTGCCACCTCAGGTATTAACAAAATGACTCTTTATTAATAATATAAATAAATACAATAATATGCTTGGTTTAATAACATTAAATAACAAAATAAATAACTCATAACAAAATTCGTCTAATTTTCTCTCCTTCCCAAAAGTTGATCTTCACGCCCTTTTATGTTTGTTTTTTGTGTAACTAAATTCATAATTTCGATTCATGGATTTAAATTATTAAAGTATTTCCATTGTTTTAAAGTATTTCCATTATCTTAATTTTGTATCCATTTGATCATCATAAACTCCTAAATTATGATTTATAATATTAACGTAGTGATCAACAAATTAATCACTTGACACCTCAGATCACTTGATTTCATTCAGTTTAGTATCTTTCGGATCTTCATTTATCCTTAAATCCCGTGACTAATAGTTTAAGGTCATCACGGACCAATTACCTTAATCCATGTGATTATTAGTTTAACGACTTCTCGGTCCGATTAAAATAAAAATAAAAATAAGTTAAAATTTTATACACTAAGACTAAATGTAATACTGCGCCTCACAATTAATAAATTTACTAGATATACTACGGCATTACACCGGCAAACTTTCTTCAAAATTCACCCGGGTCCGGGCCGGCACATGATTTTTCGTTAAATCGTGATTCTGGCCAAAATCGTCTTAATTCCGGCCGAAATTAATCTGGCCAAAATTAAGTTGGCCGATTTTTTTTGTTTTTACAACAAAATGATATAATAAAAGTCCGGGTCCGGTCCGGGTTATAGGATAGGGGTCAATGCAGTCCTCTGCTGACACGTTCAAAGATCTGGTTGGCTAAAAAAAAGAGAAGAATCGAAATATTAGAAAATATTTCATTGAAAGAAATATATTAAAAAATTCCTGATTTCTCACCAGAGTTCTACATATGTACGAAGACAAATCCTAAAAAAGAAGAATATTAGTACAAAAACAACAAGAAAAAACAGTAAATAATAAAAAAATGCCTTCATTCCCACAAGAACCTAAAAAAAAAGAAGTACCAAATCCCTAGCAAAATTAAAAGTAAGATGATTGTTAGTAATAAAGTCACTCCATTTCAAAGTAAACTGGTAAAAGGAAAAAAAAATAATCCATTTGGACTCTTTTTACGTATTAATGGTCAAACTAAATCCTTCCATTCCAACTAGCAAAAGCACAATTTTCATTGATTTGATATTCGTGGAGCTTTGACAGTTGTTAATTTTTAAAAAGAAAACCTTGAGAGAGCTTCTGAGATCTAAAAAAAAAGAAGCTAAAATCTACAAAAGAATGAAAGACAAAAGTTACTAACGAAGAGAAAAACAAACAAAAAATAAGTCTAAAATAGTGATGAATATACGGAAAAAAGAAAGAAAATGAATACTCACCGGCTGACTAGCTAATAAGTACGTAATGATTATTTATGTGAGAGGAAGGAGAAAAATGGAAAAGGGAAGACAAAAAAAGAGGAAAGAGAAATTGCGATAGAGAGGAAAAAGGAAAAATAAAAAAGGGAGGAAAAGAATGAAAGAAGAGTGAAAAAAGGTTAAAAAAGGTTAAAAAAGGGAAAGGGGAAGACGAAAAAAAGGAAAAGAGAAATTGCAAGAGAGAGAAAAAAGGTAGAAATGAAAGAGGGAAAGATTAAAAAGTAAAGGCTTAATCGAACTGCGGCTGATGATTATATTGCCTATATAATTTTACTGATAATAGAATTTATTAATTTTATTGTTTATAAATTTTATATTCACATTTAATTTCACGAATTTTTAACACTTCAAAAAAGAACTATTTTAATACAAAACAAAAAAAAAAAATATTTTTTGCATCTTAAGCAAATTAGTCGATCCAACTCGCTACTATTTCAAGACTGGTTTTCATCGAAAACTTAGCAAAAAATGTCATCACAAGATTGGTGTCAAGCACGTGACTGTTAGGTTGCAAAAACACCAGGTTTCTGCAAAGTAATATTTAATATATAATGATAAAAAAAAAGGTTTTAGCTCAAATAATATGAACTATAAAACTAATGTAAATATATTTACTAATTTAAAAAAGGGTTTAACTGAACTATACAATGTAAATATATAATTTACTAATTTACAAACGGTTGTATTGTATATAAAAAATGTAATTATATTAAGATTATATATTACTGATTTGATCGCCAAGAAAGCCAATAAGAATACTTTGCGCAATCGTGGCACCAAAAGAACCAATACTATCCAAGCCTAATTCCTTTTTAATTTTACGATGATACCAATTTTCCAAGGATTCATGTCTTGGTTCATCATCAGGAGACTTTTTAATAGTTACCAAATATGACGTAAAAAAGTTATGCTTCTCTTTTTTCACGTAAAATTCCATTTGTTTAAGAAAGTTGATAAAATTTTCACCTTTCACTGACTTTTTATTATCTTGAATCATTTGTTGAGCGGGAATTTCATAATTTTCTAATAATGTGCATGCTTCTTCTACGTTTCTATCTTGAAATTTTATAACTATAGCGTAGATATTAGAGACATCAAGCTTGGGAAGAAGACCCAACGTGCTAACCCCACCGAATCCACGCCCCACCGTATGCTTGTTTCGAAATCGAAATACCGTGCTGTTATCGTCGTCATAATGTTTATAAAGGATCATATTCCCTTCCCGAAAGCTATCGCAAAACACATTGATATTATTAATACAATCCATTTTAAAAATTATTTAAAGGTAGTTTGGTGACTAATAATTATAGGAGAATTCTTTTTAAAAAAAGCAAATTTTAATTATTATTTTGCATTTACTATTCCTTTTATAATTTTTTTGTTTAAATTTTTTATTTGGTCTGAACTTTTTCTTGGAATTCGATCCAACATTATAATCTAGGCGTTGCTTTCTTAAGAATACCAAAATCGAATTCTTCATTTCAAAGTTTAAACAAAAAAAAAAAATATGAATAACAACTTTCATTCAATTTCCTAAATAGGAGGAAAAAAATCTATTCCGAAGGTAAAAAAAAATATACATATAATAAACACGTTTTGGTAATAATTGGTATCCTATTGTATGATTGTGTGATCAACATTTTAAGGCATTAAAATCAAAATTTTTTCATTGTAGGCAGCTGAGCTTACCGTATTTGGTTGGTTCACGGAATTGTATTCCCGGTATTGTTAGTAGAGATGGTTAGTCGGTCTTTCGGTCCTGCCCGGTCTTTGAGAAAGTTATAAGGAATGCACCCTTGAATTTTTGGGACGCAGCAAGGGGGGAGTAGAAAGTGAGTAACATAGATTGACTAATTGAGTAACGTAAGATTACATAAATTACTCAATCTACGTTACTCCCATATATAAGACACGGAACGTAAGATGTACTTTATCCCATCTTTACTCCTCTTATATATAGTGTACAAGTAATATATAAAGAATTTATAATTACCTTACGTCCCGTACTTTATACAAATCACGTTGTTTATATTTTTTTATTAAATATTTTGCACAAATATCTTTATTATAACATAATGAATACAAATAAGAAGTTATGTTTATCACTATATTATTTAATTTTCTCCTAATTCTAATAATTCTTTCTATTTAAATAATATAACATATTTAATTAATTGTTTCTATTTTAAATTAAAAAATTATTATTACATATAGAAATTATTAAATACATACGCGATCTGTAGTTACCTCAAATTTATTCATAGAGTTTTGTTTTTTTCATTATCAGATAACTGAAAATCAGACTCCGTCGTATTAGTTGTTTTATCATAGTCATAAATAGTTTCCATTTTTTTTTGCATAGATACAATCTAAAATAGCAAAAACAATATTGTTTACAAAATAATAATTTGATTTTTACAGGTAAACTATTGTATTACACTACTTACATAAATTTAAAAAGAACTTATTGCATCTATTATATTGAGAATTGTTGAAAATCTTGCAAAGGCCAAAGAGTCAAAGTCTAACTTGAGATGATGGCGGTTAACACGTATATTATTGGATATTCAAGCCATGATTATAACACACTATATTGTTATTAATGTATACTTTATTTATGGATTGAAAATAGTAATATATAAAGTACTCCAAAGAACGTAAAATCACATGATCATTTCCTTACATATTACGTTCCGCACTTTATTAATATACTGCCAAGTAAGGGGAGTAACGTAAAGTAATTAAAAATTCACTTTACGTTCCATGCCTTTTTAAGGGAAGTAACGTTAGAAAAATGTGTGACATTACGCTACTCACTTAACCATCTTACGTTACTTACTTTCTATATACTCGGACCACATATATATATATATTAAATCTCTTAAAAGGAATTAAAAACTTCATCCGCCCAAATTAAGGATAAAGAATGGTTGGCGAAAGTAAAAACTGAGAAAAAGAAAGTGAGGGACTGAGGGTATGTTATTAGATCCTAATTGTTTTCAAGCGAAGTAGTACGCAGTAAAATTCGATATACCGAAACCTTGATATAACGGAACATCGGAATTGGGGTATGGAACGGATTATCATAATCTATAATTAATTTGCCCTCGATATAACGGATTTCTCGATATAAAGGATTTTTGATAAATTTTACTAATGGAACGGATGGTTCTGTTATATCGAATTTCACTGTGTAGTATAGTAAAGAACAAAAAAATGAGGGATACTAACCGTTTTCGTAATCTTTTAACAATTAGAATTTTTTGTTTTGTTTTAATTCAATTTGGTTTAAATTTACCTATCGGATTAATTGTTAATTTCTTTCATTTGAATCCATTTTTCCTCGATTAGGTTTAAATTTACCTATCGAGTTTAATTGCTAATTTCTTTCATTTGAATCCATTTTTTCTGTTTTTATTAAATAGTTATAAATCTTTCTAAAGAAACTTAAACGTCTTGGTAAATTCAAACGATCATTTTCGCCGTAGTAATAATTAAATTAGGAGTTGAATTAGTTGAATTTGACCTAAAAAACATTTCTTAATTCCAAAGATAAACTTCGTGTAATTGAAATTTAGGCTAATAAAATGCAACAATAATTTACGCGAAGGTGAAGATTTAATTGGTAACAACAAAACTCCAGTAAAGTAAGTAAAAATTAATATATATGTAGGATATTCAAATAATAAAAAAAATATTAAATGAAATAATTCATAACAAGTAATTTTTATTTGCTTATTTGCTTTGTTAAATAAACGCCAATCTAGTTATCAAGTTTTACAAAAAACCAAAAAAGGGTGGTAAAAATTCCACAAATTAATTCAAACAATTTCTCATGATCAATAAACAAATACAGTAACTTATAATGACACTAAAACCTTATTACTCATTAGAACACAAAACATTGATTATTAATAATATTACAAATACATTATACTTGTATCTTATCATGAATTCTTTGATAAAAAAAAAAAAAATTTGTCGAATTAAATGAATAAATTTTTTGACCAATCCTAGTCTTTATTTGTAAACAATTTGAATATATTGAACTTTATCTATATGAACATATTAAAAAAAATTTTATTAATATAATAAAATTTTTTAATAATTCCTAATGAAATATTGTACGGTACAGTAAGGTTTAAAATAATAGAATAGTAGTAAAAATTTTTTTGATGGCATCACGACTCACGGGATTTACCGCAAAGTTTAAAAACAAAAAAAGAAATATTTAAATTTTTTTTTTTTTTTTTTTTTTTTTTTCTTTACCAGATACCAGATACCAGATACTGTGTGTTTCATGGATAATCTTTTTTTATTTTGATTGGTATTCGGTAATAAGTATTTTTTTATTCAATTCCGATTACCCCTTCTAATACACTTTACCATTATTATCATTATTATCTGTTTCAATAAAAACTTAATAATAATTTTTGTATTTCCTTTTTCTCTTATTAAATTTACCGTAATTTACCAGAAAACATTAAAAATACGGTAATTTTGAAGTTAAAATTTTTTTTAGAATTTTCTAATCCAAAAATAGAATCACTATTAACATTATTTTAGTAATCTGTACAATTTTTTGAAAATATTCAATGAAGATTTTAATAGACAATACATAATGTGAAAATCATGAGAATCATGCGAAATTTGAAATTTGAATGTGTACAATTTTGTTTTAATTGCTTAAAAAAAAAAAAAATTTTTATTAATTTCAGTTATTTGAAAGAAAATTGAACACAACGGAAATACAAAATGAATCTAAAAAAGTATTTTTTATTTGTACATATATATATATATAAACTGTAATACATTATAATACATTATATATCGTGTTAGTATCGTGTTATTATCGTGTTATTATCGTGTTATTATCGTGTTCGATGTAATTGATCGAATTGTATAAATGTATAAATGCAATGTAATGCAAAAAATTGTTTTTTTATACGAGAAAAAACGATTTTTTGAAACAAAATGTTTAATATATGGACATGAAAGACGGTACGCGAAGTCGGCGAAGATGAAAATTAAAAATGTTTAGAATGCCGATAACAAAGTGGCAGGTATTTCAAAGATTCATCACCAAATTTGAACTTTGTAAGATCCGTTTCACGCTGGGCTAATAATGATTTGCTCGATTAACTTTGCCGATATTCAATAGAAGTTAATTCAATATTGAACCATTGAAAATATGTATACGTAACTCTCAAGGTTTATTTGAAGTTCGGAAATGTTAGCAACGAGAGAATAGATTGAAAGTGAGTTTCGCGTCGTTCGCTTCCGAACTTTTCAAATTTATTTACGGTACCATACACAGAAGCATATTTGGTATTTAACCTGAGATTTTACGTAAAAGATCACAACAGCAGCAAATATACAGTATATGGGCTTTTCAGAAGTGATCAGTGGTAATATGATTAACTTGTCCTCGCTATTCACAAATTTTAGATTTCAAGACCTGGTAAAATGGTGATAAAACATTGATCCTAACAATTTTGGGACTTACGAGAACAGTATTTAGATTTGTTGAACGTTAAGGGTTCATTTAGGTTAGACTTTGTATTGGAGAGATTGAAGAAAGGTTAAGAAAGGGGATGGGATAACGAGTAGAAGCACAATCTCTGGAAAATCACAAAATCACAAAACTCGCTTACCGATTAATCGACCGTCATACGCAATGAAAAATCAAGATAAAATCAACTTAAATAATTTGTGGATTTCCTCTAGTTAACCTAGTTAATTAGTATTAAATCTTCTATTAAAGTGGTATAAGTGGTATGAGTCTGTATATAATGGCTATTATAAATTATAATAAAGGTTGCGATCAGGTGCAAATCACCGACTTAAAGTAGTATGAATTGTTTGTTCAATGTGATGACGTTATTTAATAAATTACTTTGTTGATTTCTTTTTGCGTTACTTTCCGACGTTGTAAGACAATAATAACGATATTAATCGTTAAATCGTTGATTTTGACATATAAATATTTATTTATTTACGATCATATCACATAAATTTGTTTTGAAGTTGTGTGAGACGCTTTATTATTATTGTCAAATTAATTAAAGTTTTGTAAATTTAATAAATTTATTAATGCTGACAATTAATGTATAATACAAAATAATATGGAAAATTGCTAATATTTTAATCTCATAAAAATACATGAATAAAAAAAAATGTTTACACTTTTTTAAATACTAATTGAAATAATTTGTATTACTTATATATATATAGAGAGAGAGAGAGAAAAAGCGCTAATAATTATTTAAAAAAAATCATCTATGTTTCCTTAACATGCTAGTTTCATTATTTGAAAGTAAAATTGAAAGTATTGTATTATTTTCAATAATTTAGTACAATATACAAATAAATTTTTTTTTTTTTTTTTTTTTTTTTTAGAAATAATAATTTAATAAATTTTTTTTATTTTTTTTAAAAAAAAATTTGGGACGTAAATTGGACTATCTGGGGTAGAAATAATACCTAATAATAATAAATAATTAATTAAGAGGAAAAAAAAAAAAAAAAAAAAAAAATTATTTTTTTTATTATCATTAAAAATAATATAAAAGGATATTTGTATAAAAATATTCTTCAATTATATCTTTAAGTTTTTGTTTAATAATTACCTTTTTTGATTTAGCCGTTATTGTGGTTTCATCAGCAATGATTTGTTCATCTTGCATTTCCTATATAATAATGAAAAAAAAAAATATTGTCATTTTTTGTATGTATATGCAGAAATATGTGCAGATTATTCTTTGTCTTAAATGATTATCCAATCAAAAAAAAGCGAGATAAGAAAAAAANTTTTTAAAGAAAAAAAATATAAAGTACCGTAAATAATAATAATTATACAAAATATTCCAAGTGTATTTTACACACCCCCAAAAAAAATCCTCCCAAGTAAAAAAAAAAAACAATATAAATAAAAAACATCCCAAAAAAAAACCCCGTCGACTCATAAATTCAGATCTCCATCATCAATTTTCCAGAGAGGGTATTTGAATAATCCTAATTTCTTCCATTCCTTTCCTCTGTATAATTCGTGAATTCATTTTCTTTTTGCAAATGATCTTCAACTTCTTGTACGCGTTCCAAAGAAGCAGGTTCACCACGAATTTCGTTCATCATAGAACTAATATATATATTGAATTCATTGGCAGGAGATGTTTTTTTTGCATTTTCTTCTTCTATATAATTTCTCATGATTTCATTCTCTCTTTGTAATTCACGGTTACGAGCTTCAACATCACGAACACGTTCTTGTAGAGCATCAACAATATCTTCAGCATCTAATAGTTCAGCTTCTTTTTCTCTTAACCAATCATCACGTTCTAATAAGATCCTTTTCAATTTCTTAACTTCTTCACGTAACGCGATTTCAGAAGAACGAGAATAATTAGAATGTGTTGATGAAGAAGGAACACCATGGTTTTTCTTTTTATCAGTTTTTGTGGAAGATGATTGACGACTGTTTTGAGAAGAAGGAGAATCCTCTCTTGGTCTTTTTGAAAAAGTTGATTTAGATGTAGATTGAACAGTTTGTTTATTTCGTTCGATAAAATCTTTCTGTTGGTTACCCATATTGATATTATGAGGAATAAAAAAAAATAAAAAAAAAAAAAATTATTTTTTTTTTTATCATTTAAAATAATATTTATTCATTTTTACTATTAAAAGTGTATAAAGAAAAAAAAAACTTTCTTTAAAGATAAACATTACCCTTTTTTTTTTCACTCGCCAACCAAATTTTTCCGCGACGTAACAATTAAAAAAATATATGTGTATCAGATACCTGTCTGTGATTACCCATACTAGTATTATACTTTTCTGTATGTGACGTATTATGGCGCGTCATGTTCTGTTTTTATATATGTACATATATACATTACTATGAATTCGTTTTTAGTATAAATGAACAATGATTAAATTTTTTTTTTTTTTTAACGCACCAAATGATTCAATATCAATCCAAAAATTAGATAAATCGAACGAATTGTTATAGAAAATGAATAGGAAAATGAATAAGAAAAAATAATTAAATACATAAAAAAAAAAAAGAGGGGAAGGAAAGAGGAAAAAGTATTTTAAAAGTAAAAAATATACAAAGTTTTTTTTTTATTTATTTAATAAAACGATAAAAACGAAATAGAATGATTATAATAACTAATAAATGATAACGAAATTATTTTATTTTTCTTTTTTAAACGATGTCCACGTCAACTGCACTATGCTAGTCTTTTACTTTAATTATAAAGTTTCTCAAAAAAAAATAATAAGTTCAAAATGATAAAAAAAAAAACTTTGTAAGACTGTATTTATATAGCTTTATGTATCATACTATTCATACGTGACCAGGTACTAATTTTAGTTTGGGATCAATATATCTGTGTAACAGAATAGTTGAACAATGATCTACTTTATGAGATCATCAACACATGAATTCGTATAAATCCAGAACAAAGGATTTTTTTGATTAAAAACGAATATAGTAAAATTATATTACTTCTTTGATTAGTTTGATATAAGAACAAAAATCATGTGTTCTCTTGCAGTTATTAATTTTTAATTAATAAACCCTTAGCGGATAACCATTATGGTGTTTTTTTGACAATAACATCCATTGTTTTACTTTTGGCATACGTGCATTTATTACATTGAATCTAATGTAATTGGAAAAAATCCAAAAATAATGGAAAGTAACAAGATTTCTTGGAACGAGATTGAGATTATGATTAAGATTAGAAGTTAATCGGGATTTTACGCGATCAAAAAAAAAACATGATTTCTTTATAGTCTTTATTAAATATTGTTGTCATCTTTGACGTTTATAAAATTTTTCAAAGAAAAACTTTCTATTGTTCTTTATCGAAAGAAAAAATCTTTTTATTGATATAATCCTTTTTGTGCAGGTTAAATAGGTTAAATGATTTATTGATAACATCTTTTTAAATTCTTTGCATTCTTCTTCAAATCTATGCACCTCCTTTTTCTTCCATTTTTCTAGTAATAGATTTATATTAAGAAAAAAGAATATTCATAGAATTTATTTATATATATAATATATATTATATAATATTTGAAATAAATTATAAAATGTTTGTTAAAAAATCAAGATTTAATCTATATATAGAATTTGTAACATAATGCGTAATAGGAAGTTAGGAACTTTTCAAGGATCATCTGATCATCTGTTGATTTCTATAAATCATTCATCATTCAATCATTAAAAATTATCTTGATATCGAATAATCGAATAGTAGTAAGAAAATTTATTCTATTAAAAAATGGAAAAATATTATTTGTTAAAAAAAATTGTAGCTAATGCAAAATGTACGTATAATAAATGTGAAAGGATGAAACGTTTTAGTTATTCCTTTAGGAAATTAAACTTAACCTAATTATTAAATTTCATAAATAAAAATTTTTATATTAAATTGCATAACATTTTATTCATCCAATCAATTATTGATAAAAATAACTAAAATAGTATATACTATTCCATATATGATGTTCATGTAAATAAAACTGTTTGACGCCCCTGTAATAATATTACACGGAACCTTATGCACCTGCAATGTGACAAACTTAACACAACCCGAAGGCAATTTAACGCACCACGTGCATTATTATTTAACATCATCCTATTTGTATACTATATAAAGATTAATGTACTGTATCAAGGGGGAACTTTTTTTTTTTTACCGCTCAAAATTTTATCCTCGTTTTACTTATTGTTACACGCATAATTCAATTATTATTATTTTTTATTTATTCAGTACTTCAATTTTTTTCCTCTTCCACGATAAAATCAAGGTAGTGATTTTTCATGATTTTAATATTATCATCAAATATTTGTAAATAATAAAATATTTTTTTTTACAAATTTTTCTTACATTTTTCATTCTTTTTTTTAAAATAAAAGTATTTGTTCAATAGGGTAATGATGTCAATTAGAACTCCTGCATCTTTTAATTCAAAAATTCGTGGAAAGAAAATCAATATTTCTGAATATAATAAGAATTTAATTTCAGACGCACTTTCTTTAATTTGGATAAAAACTGACCATAAAATTGAAACATGTTATTTTGAAAGAAATAATGTTAGAGTATCATACAAAAAAAATGAAGGTTATGGATATTTTGATTTACATGAATCATTTGAAGAAATCTCAACAGATTTTATGGTAAATGTATTTGATTTTTTTTTTTTTTTTTTTTTTTT